TATCTATCTATCTATCTATCTATCTATCTATCTATCTATCTATCTATAAGAATCTCCTACAGCTCAGGCTGGTTTCAAACCTGCTGTGTGACCAGGATGACTTGAACTCTCAATCTATCTGCCTTCACTTTCCCAGTGTTTGTACTACAGGTGTGCTCCACTGAGCCTGGTGATCAAAACCAAGAATTTCCTGCATGTTAGGCAAGCATCCCACCAGCTGAGCAGTGTTCCCAGCCTCCTGTGGCCTGCTAACATACATGTTTTGCCTTTTTTGGGGTTGGTGATTTTACTTTGTGAAATGACTCCAAGTGTGGCTCAGGAAAGCTGGCTGCGTCCTACACAGAAGAGTGTTAGGTACTTATAGAGAAAGCACCAGCATTGAGCTTTGACAGGACATTCTGAACAGACAGCCTTGCAGCAGAAGCACATAAATTATGAGTGTGCTTGGTTGACTGATGCAGAGTGGCAAGACCAGAGACTGACAAGAACCCAGTCTTCTATTTCCCCCAGAGAGCAATGGTTCAGAATTTACTGCTCAATGTTTGTAGCAACTTTATGCAGCATGCCATAAATACTGACAACAGATTGTACATTGACACACACACAACCCAGGCTAACATCTTTCAGAAAAGACTCCAGAAGGCAGTGCCTTTTGTAAAGGACATGTGCTCCCGTTCTTTCCTTTAACTTCTCCGTCTCTGAATTGCGTGATGTATAGTTCACCCTCTTGTATGTCTGACCTTCATGCTTGAACTCTGAGAGCAGTCTCGGGCACTCCTTTGAGTAGCACCTTTTCATAAACGAATACTTAATGTCTGCTGAGAGATGCTCCAAGACAAAGAGCTAAACCCGGCCTTACAGAGCACACACACTGTTCAGCCTCTGAGGCTGCTGGGGGAATCGGGGTTGCTGCTGTTGATCCTAGAGGCTTTGTATAAGAGGAATACAGCAGACAGTCAATGCCCTACAGGAGCAGGAGCCAGCTGTGAGCTGCTTTCTGGCACTGTGGCTTCAACCATGGAGGTATGCTGGGAGCTTTCACGTGTGAGCTAAAGGAACAATGCCTCTGTCCAGTATTCGGATTAGTCTGTGCAGGACCCAGGTGCTCATGGACTTTAAAACTTTGCAAGTGACCCCAACACAGACACAGCGAGAGCCTCTGCCCTTGAGAACTCAGAAGACACAGGCCACCAAGTCTACCTGGAGCCTGGTTCTTCAGCTGAGTCTCAACCAGTGCCTGGTAACATTCTTGGCATCCTTTGGACTCCCCTTCTCTTCCTGGCCAGCTCATCAATAGGGCAGGCATGGGGCAAGCTCACAGATGTTGGTTGCTGCTGCTTTTTCCCCCTCTTGAGTTGAGGTTTGAATGGAAAAGGATGCTGAAGTGGGGGCTGGAAAACAGCATTCTGCTTTGGGAAGGCAGATCTCCCTAGACTCAGAAGCTTTTTTTATCCTATAGTAGTTTGTGTTTTTAGTTATGTTTTCTTCTCAGGTTCCTGACCCACCCAACTCTCCCATGGTGTATCTAACATTGTCTGTTTTATTTTGAGCAAAGTGAGTTGAATTCTTTCTTGTGAACCACCAGGAAAATCTACCATCTTACTTCTTTGGCATCATCCACGTCCCATACACAAGGGTTTGCGGGCCACCTTTGGCAATTCCAGGGAAGCATCCCAGCATCCCAGAGAGCAGCATTGTGTACCTCCACATCATCTCAGCCCTCAGCAGCTGTCAGATCTTGCTGCAGGGAAGGAACCTTCAGGATGTGTCTTCTAAGACATCCCTTGCTACTTCAAAGGTCCCTGGAGTACGTCAAGCTCATGTTTCACGATCTCCTTCAGTTTGCATATCTCAGAATAAATGGCTCACTCGCAGTACCAAAGAAACCTTAAGCAAGATTTAAAACAAATAGAAAATTTAAAACAAGAGCTATGATTGACAGGCAGTGTAGGCTTCTCTGGAAGTGTCATTGGGAGGTTGGCAATGCCCACCAACAGGTTTATGTCTGTCAGACTTTGCCAAGTTGGTCTGGCTATGTTGGAGTGAGACAGAACTGAGGCCAAGATGACGTGCCCCATTACTTCCCCTCACCCCCCTCTACAGGCTTGTCTTCCCACTGAATCAGAGCGCAGTTCTCTGTGGTTTTGCGTAGGCTCTAGTCATGACATCACAGTTTTATTTTACGTTTATTTGTATGTGTGAGTGCACGTCTGTGGGTGAGGAGGTCAGAGGACATCTTGTGGGAGTTGGTTCTCTTTTTCCACCATGTGGGTCCTGGGGACTGAACTCAAACTCAGGTTATCAGGGTTGGCCGTTGACGCCTTCACTTGCTGGGCCATTGTGCCAGCCCAGTAAAACAGAATGACCATAACTGGCGTGTGCCTTTGGGTGTGCCCATCTCTCTGTCTTGGCTGTGACCATGCACTACCAAGGGGACTCTTGGCTTAGCTCTGGGGTGTCATCTGAAGAGGGAAGGGAAGTTGAGAGAACACTTCTCAGCCCAGAGATCTGTGGACAATAGATCAATGAGGAGCTCCTAGGAGAGGCGGGAAGGGCTTCTGCAGGGACAGGAGAAAGGAGAGGCTGGGAAATTAGCTTTAATTGTGAACTTGTTACAGTCTAGCACAGTGCTTTTCAACCTTCCTAAGGCTGTGGTCCTTTAATACAGTTCCTCATGGTTGTGATGACCCCCAACCATAAGATTATTTTTGTTGCTACTTAATAACTGTAATTTTGCCTCTTGTTATGAATTGTAATGTAAACATCTCTGTTTTCCAATGGTCTTAGGCAACTCCTGTGAAAGAGACATTTGGCCCCAAAGGGGTCGCAACCCAGAGGTTGAGAACCACTGGTCTAGAGTCATATTAGAGGAAACACTCACCTGAGGAGTCGACTAGATAAGATTGGCCTTATGGATATGCCTATGGGAGATCATCTTGATTTTATTAATTGATGCAGGAGGGCTCAGGCCACTGTGGGCAGCACCATCCCTAGCCAGGTGATCCTGTGCTGTACAGGATGTGAGTGAGCCGGAGAGAAATCCGACGTGCAGCGTTCCTCCACGGTTTCTTCTCCAGGTTCTTGCCTGGAGTTTCCCCCTGGATTCTTTCAATAGAGGACAGGACATGGAAGTGTGAGATGAAATAAGTCATTTTCCCACCAAAACTGCTTCTGGTTAGAGTAACAGCAACAGAAAGTAAAGTAGGGTAGGAAATTTTACCCAAGAGGACCTGTCCCTAATCTCTTGTTAAAGGTGCTGACAGGAACAGAAACTATTAGAAAAACCAGGGAAATGAGGGGTGCCGTGGCCTCAGGATTCATCTCCGAAATGCAGGAATTGTGCCGTGGGACTTTTAAGAGGGGCTCAGGCCATGACATCTTTTCTGTAGGGGTGGCATTAAGGTTTTTTAGGCAACGGGCTCATCCAAGGTTGGGGATGTAGCTCAGTGGGTAGAGTGCTTGCTTAATAGACATGAAGCCCTGGACGTCATCGCTAGAGCCATGCACACTGATGGCGCATGCCTACTATCCCAGCATTCAAGTAGCAGAGGTGGGGATCAAAAACTCAAGGCTATCCTCATCTACACAGCAGGTCTGAGGCCAGTCTGAACTGAGACTATCACAAAAAAGAGGCCGGGGAGGGGCTCACACAGCACTCGGCTCAATGGCTCTTCTGCTTTCTGTCACATGAGGATGTAGCAAGAAGATCCCAAAGATCCATTTCATTTTGGACTCTCTATTTCAATTCTCTTTGAATTAACCAATCTACGTAAATTTCTGTGGATGCACACTAACCCAAGACAATGGATGGCCTTTACCCACAGGTGGGGAGACTCAAACACTGCCATTGCCTCCTTCCCTGGCTCTCTGGGAAAGATGGGCTGGGGGCTGTAGCGAGTCCTTTGCTGGTTTGAGCCCGCAAATGTCTTGTCTCAAGGGAGTTGACAATGAAGAGTTCAGCTACTGTCCAGATGGGTCAGATTATACTTTTTAGTAAACAAGAGAAGAACTCAGCAAATGAGGCTTCTTCTGCACAGGATTCTGAGAGGGGATGGAGGAGGAGCTGTGAGAGATGATCACACATCAGTGGGTGGAGGAGGAGCTGTGGAGATTACACATCAGTTTATGCCTGGGTAGAGTGGGCAGGAAGTACTAGAGGATCTCTTGTGTTGTCGGGAGCTTGGTAGAGTCTGGAGAGTCCCAATTCCAGCTGATGCTAACATTCTCTATCCCCTCACCAGGTCACCAGTGCCAGGGAGAAGTCCCGGCTGAGCGGGGTTCCAGCTGATGCCAACATTCTCTATCTCCTCACCAGGTCACCAGTGCCAGGGAGAAGTCCCGACTGAGCGGGGTTCCTTGAATCTGGCTGGATCCAGCGATGTTCCGATGAGCCTTGCTCCTGTCACGTGGATTTCCAGTGTGTTTGGGAGACCTGGCACATGCCCTTCCCCTCACAGAGGGTTACGCCACACTGTGAATCAGAGAGTTGAAGTTCGGGGCTGGGGAGGTGGCTCAGGAGGTAAAGGGCCTGCTGTGCAAGGCTGAGGACCTGAGTTCAGATCCCCGATCTCCATGTGAAAAGCCGGTTGTAGTGGCACAAGTCTGTGATGTCAAGTTTGGGTCCTGGCACAGCCTAGCTGAGACAGGGATCTCTGGATTCGCTGAGAGGCCCACCTCAAGAAATAAGGCAGAGTTTGATACTTAACCTCTGACTCATGCAAACACACATCTACACACAAACATGTGTACACACTTAAAAAAAAGAAGGAAAATTAAAAAATTTCTAATTAACAACAACAACAAAAAGGGGGCTGGAGAGATGGTTCGGTGCTTAAGAATGGTCGGTATACCTGCAGAGGACAGAAGTTTAGTTCCCAGCACCCATGGCAGATGGCTCACAACTGTCTGCCACAACTGCTCACAGGACACAGACTCCTTCTTCTGATCTCTGTGTGTGAGTGCACACACACACACACACCACACACATGTGCACACACATACATCACACACACGTATGTGCACACACAGGACACAAATAAGAATAAAACAAATCTTTAAAAATAAAACAGAAAACAGATAAGCCCTGTTAGTTTTGTTGGGCTCCCATCTCCCTTTTACATTAGCTTTTATTACCATCCAAGCATCTTAATGAATCCACTCAATGATGGGTAGAACACATGTGTCTGCATCATAAGTTCCTGTCCAGTTCTTTATGTAATCTGAGCCCTGCAGTGTGGGTCTCTCTCTGCCCCACCTCACATGCCAGCTCTAGGTGTCCTAAAATCTTGGTCATGGTCATGCTATGTCTGCCCTTCTAGGGCAGTTCTTCAGCTGTGGTCTAATACAGGGGCTGGTCTGGGCAGGGCTGTCCTTTTCTTCCTAGACTCTATCCTAGGATCCACCTTTCCTTTCTTAGTGCCAGTGTCCTTTGCAGAGCAAATACAGAGGTGAGGCTACTGCCAGCCATAAACAAGGTGAGACAAAACAAAACAAAAACAAACAAACAAAAACTAAAGAGGGGTCAGGTAGGCACTGAGAAGGTAGCTTAGTGATGGGGGAATTTAGCTGACATGTGCAAGGCCCTGGGTTCAATCCCCAGCATTGGAAAAAAGAAAGAAATGAGAGAGACAGAGAGAGGAAGCTATAGATAGATAGGTAGATAGATAGATAGATAGATAGATAGATAGATAGATAGATAGATAGAACTGAACAGGAACCTAGAATTTCCCCATCTCTGTCGGGCATCTTTACCTTGAACCAGAGCCTCCTGCAGCAGGAGTCGGAGGCAGTTAGATCCTCTTATACCGGAAGATCTCTCTGTCTGTCTCTCTCTGTCTCTCTGTCTCTCTCTGTCTCTCTCTGTCTCTGTCTCTCTGTCTCTCTCTCTCTCTCTCTCTCACACACACACACACACACATACCCTATAACTGTGGGCCACCTCTGCTTTGTCCTCTTTAGCTAGGACAACTCACAGGCAAGAGACCCTTGTCTTGGGTCTGAAGAACAAAGATTTTACCCACAAACACCTGGGTGTCCTGGGTACAAAGACTTGAAGTCATACGAAGCACTAAATGTAAGAAAGCAATTTCGATGTCACCAAACAAGGGGCTGCAGGTAATGAGGCATCTTCAGGAAGCTTTCAAGATGGGGCATCAGCAACTTAGCTCCAGGAGCTCAGCTGCAGTCAGAAGCTTCTGTTGATTGGGCCCAGAGTCTGGGCCGGGGCCAGTGTCGGGGAGAAGGATGGATCAAGGTTGACTTAGGTGACTCTCGACAGCTCTGCTTTTGAAGTACGGAAATCGTCTTCCCTTTGAGCATTCCCCTTTACAGAAGGACGCTGCCATGGAGAGATGGGAACCAGCAGGTGTCACTGACACCGTCTCTGTGCCAGGTTAGAGCTGGGCAGTGCGTGTGAACATCAGAGGAAGAGAAGGAACGGAGGGACTGAGGACAGATGCTGCGGGCTGAATTCAGCATCCTCCCAGAAGGCGAAATGCCCCAGATAGAAAGGAGGGTCACAGGATAGAAAGGCTTTCAGAAAGGCTAGCCCACGGCTTCTTAAATGTCCCTCACATTTGGAGAGATGGGAGGCCCCTCACAGGGTGGCCTTCTCCAGATGTCTGTCTGTAGTTGCTTCAAGCCTGGGCAAAAGCTACACGTTTATACCTGTTGGAATAAATATGGATGTGTGGAAGGGTCCATTATAAGGTGAATGAAGTGAGAATAAAACTCACAAAGAACTCAGCTTTTCAGCCCCTTTTCCCATTGAAGTTCCATGATAATTTTGTATCTATTCGGAGCCAGAAGCCTTGTAGAGATGAGTGTGCTGGCCAGAACTGGAGATCAAAGAAAGCACATCTTAGAGCAGCTAGGCTATGCTCTCTGGGGCTAGAAGAAGGGATCTGGAGGGCAGTACTCTCTAAAAGAGCTGCACCAGAGAGGCTGGAATTCAGGGTCCCTTGGTCCAAGCTTTGGTGTGCTTATGGCTGCCTGCATGCTATGCATGATGGGTGAACTGGAGACACATTGGTCCTGCCTTCATGAAGTGCACAGTCTGGTGAGGAAGCCAGATTCTGAGTTAGTAATTTTCAAGGCATGTGTGTATGCGTGTGTGTGTGTGTTGGAGGGGACTAGCTATGATCTGTCTGGGTTTAGGAAGAGCCTCCCTGAGGAAGCGTGATTCTAGCCAATGTCAAGCAGAAACCAGAGTGAAGTCTGATGAGTAGGCTCTGTGGAGTCTGAATCAGCAGATGGAGAGATCCAGAGCCATGTAGGTGCTTTGCAAACATCAGGCGGATGATGAGGGAATCGGGGATCTGGTGCACAGGGTACTGAGCGAAAGTCTGTCCTGCAGGGAGTGATTCTGTTATAGCGAGCTGAAGCAGTTCTGGTTGCAGCCTTAGAAGAAAAACATTCAGTGACATGAGATGTCCAGAGACGTAAACAAGAAGGGAAGGACATAATTTTATGCCCATGGCAATAGGGGGTTATTGAAAGGACTGAAGGGGCCCCTGCTGTCCTGTGTGACTTGTATTTTTAAAGATTATTTACTTTCATGTGTATGCATCTGGCTGTAGGTACACCCACTCTGTGTTCAGGTGCCCATGGAGGCCTGGAGATGGCATTGGCTCTGCATGAAACTGGCTTTTACAAAAGGCTGTGCTAACGTAGGCACTGGGATTGAACCTAGGTCCTCAGCAGCAGCAGCAAATGCTTTTGGTCACCAAGCCCAGCCCCACATTTCAGTTTTAAATGCATAAAAGCTGGCAACCCGGGGATAGCTAGGTAAAAGGTCTAGCAACTGTCCACATCCCGTGGTGCCTCTTTAACCTTCATCCACTATGGACTATTAAGTTCCTCTCTGTAGTTATTTCAGCTTGGGCCACTTCCTTTCAAGGTGACCATGGTTTTAGTGGTTTTATTCCTCAGCTGAGCTAAGAGGACCTGGTGAGCCTGAGGACATGTGCCCAAACCTTGTCCTGTCTTGGCATGTTTACACGGTGTTCACACAGGCACAGACGAGGTGAGAGGGCCAAGGAGGAATCCTCATGGCCTGGCTGTTCTCACAGAGCTAGATCTGTGCCCAAGGTCACCAGAGGCTAACAATGGGAGAACTCTGAACTGGGCTTCCTTTATCAAAGCTTTTAGCACTCACTAAACCTCGGGACAGTTAGCTATCTTAATGTTCCGTCATTTGGTTTCTGGTGGAGACGACCCAACATGCCATGGTAGTGTAGTAACACACATTTCTGTCTTTAAAGAAGGGAGATAAGAAGTCACTGTGTGGACACTGGGGTGTGGGAAGCTGCCACGGCTCCCACCGTGCACTGAGTGTCTTTGCCTCTTAATGTCTATAGCTCCAGGCCCCTGTCACAGACAGACCAACCCTCTGGCCCTAGCTGCAGCTTCCTCGCTATGGAAACTCTCACCACAGCCAGATGGTGGCCATGGAGGCTTGCCTGTCCCTCTGAACTCCTGTGTTCTGGGTGCTCACGCTAGCTTCCAGGACAGACACACCCTCTTACAGTAACTAGAGATCCAGGCCAAACCTTTGGTCTCTGTACTTCACAGTCTGCTCTCACATTGATAGATCCAATTGAGAAGGAAAATTGTTTTGTTTTCTTTGAGACAGGGTCTTGTTATGTAGCCCAGGCTGGACTTGAACTTGGGATCCTCCCAGCTCACCCTCCCGTGCGTTGGAACTGTGGGTGTGCAGCACTGGTGTTTCTTCAGACCAACAGAAGCCCTAACCAAGGCTCTGGGGGCTGGGCTGGCTTTGTTTGTACAAAAAGCGGATTTTACTCTGCCCAGTCCTGTGTTATTTCGTATTTATATGTTTACTGGGTCTCTTAGGGAGAATCCAAGTGAACTGGTAAGTGTAGAATTAACTGCTTTGACTGTTCACAGAGTGGGGTCAGCATTTCTTACCTGTTGGTCCCCTTTCTGTTCTCCTGGGCCTTGCAGTGACTCACAAAGCCTCAGAACGGTTGTCCAGGATTGGGTGGGCCTAAGAAGAGTATTACCGCATATCTGTCATCTGACTCAGGGGAGCTCGATTGCCTGGATTGTAAGCTCTGGATCTCCTTCCTTTCCTGGTGTGTGTGTGTGTGTGTGTGTGTGTGTGTGTGTGTGTGTTGTATGTACTTGTTTGTATGTGTGCGTGCAGATGCAGGTTGGCCTTGGGTTTCCTCTGTCATGCTCGACTTTACTTTTTGGGGCAGGGTCTTTCAGTGACCATGAAGTTCATCCATTTGGCTAGGCTGGCTGTCCAGTGAGCACGAGGGATCCTCTTGCCTCTGTGCCCTTGCTCCCAGCATTGTGGTTATAGATTCTCTAAGCCCAGCTTTTATGTGGATGTTGGAGAGCCAAACCCAAGTCCTCATGTTCCCACAGCAAACAAACCGTCTTTCCAGTCCCTCTGGAGACTTCCATGGACTCCTTCCCAGTCATTTCCTTGGCTCAGATGCACCCAGTTGGGATGTGGCCAACTTTGGCACTGTTCATTCTTAAGTGTAAGGTTTAGGATGACAGAGATGGTTCAGTTCATAGAGTGGTTGCCACAGAAGCCTGATAACCTGAGCTGGAGTCTCGAGAACCCATATAAAAGCCAGACATAGTAGCATGTCTGAAATCCCAGGCCACTTCTTCTGGGATGGCTCATGGGCCAGCTATGCTGGTATACAGCTATGCTGGTATACGCAGCCGGGAATGAGAGAGACGCTGTCTCAAAGTGGACAGTGAGGATTGCCTTCTGACCCTCACATATACACTGTGGTAGCATGCATGAGCACACACTGACACACACATACATGCATGAGCAGAAACATATACCACACACACATTAAGAAGACTTTTTCCCCACTATTTTTGCACAATGAATTGATTGCACAATTCTCAATTGTGTGGGTGACAATGTCATGTCAGAACGTCAAAAGGTTGGACACCCCTGATGGTTGTTACTGTTATTGGACTACCCTTCTACACGTTGGGCTTTTAAGAGCCTTATTTAAGTCTAGAAACAGAAGTGTCTGGGGTCCTGTGTCTAACAGGGACTCTAGGCTCTTACACAAGTGTGACAAGGAAGGGAGCCTGTGTGAACAAGGAGCTGACACCTTGTTCTTCCCAGGGCTCTGAGCCACACACTAAAGAGAAGCAGTCTGGATTCTACACTGAGTTGGGGAGTACTTTTACTAGGGGATGTGTGAATCCATCACCTCCACAACATAGCTGGGATTTCCAAGAGGAACAACTCAAAACCACTTTATTTTCGGCCATGGGAGAAACAACAGCTGCAGCGGGTACACTTAGGTCAGGTTAGAAGTCACTTTCTCCCATCAGGGAGGACCTCTGGATTAACACGGCCCCGATCACTCACTCAGCTGGCAGAGCAACGCGGAGCCCTTGGCGATCCAGTAGTCATTGGGCCGCTTGGAGGGTAAGAGGATGGTCACCACGAAGTTGGTGGAATGGCCTAGAAAAGGACACCAGAGGGGTGGGGGTGGGGTGGGAGAGAAAAGCTGTTAATTAGAGAGTAACCTCTGGATTCACAGAGATGAGATACTGAGAGACCTGACTGAACCAGAAGATGCTGGGCATAGTCCCTGAAGGTCCCAGTTTCATGCTATACAGAATGAGGTTTTAGAAGCATGGTGCTTTCGGGTCTGCCTGCTTAGACTATAACTTGATGAATATGTTTCAGGTTCTCTGGAGTCTGAATCTAGGATCACTGGGCTGGGATTTAGTCCTGACATTTCAGTGGGACTTAGGGGTATCTAACAGTAGTTACGGCATCTATTCATGTGGTCATCCACCCATCCATCCATCTATCCATTCATCCATCCATCCATCCATCCACCCA